TAAAACCCCTACACCAAGTGGAGTTCATAGTATAATGAGGCTTCGTACAATCCTATAACACGTCTGTAGATTGCTTACTCTTCGATTGGTTTTTTTCCAGGTGACTTGGGTCGAACACCTAGAGTGCCAGAAAAACTCTGTTCATTCCCTGTATCGGACAACCGTTAGCAGCGGTCTGGCATTCGGTGCAAAGCACTGGATCGCAACACTACAACAACAATGTGAGAGACTCGTGTTCTTCATGGCAACAAATGTTCCCATAAAGGATTCAAGCGGTAATAATCTTAAAATGCACTGTTTTTTATTTTCAATTTTGTCCAATTTTAGCAGAATTTTACGTATGAATCTTTGCAGGAATTCCCACAAGTGCTGGAAGGAAAAGTATACTGAAATTGGCACAAAGAATGACTTGGAGTTTCTGTCGAGCGCTTGGTGCATCTAGCTACAATACATGGAGCAAGATTCCTAGTAAAACTGGTGATGATATAAGGGTGGCTTCAAGGAAAAATATAAACGATCCCGGAGAACCTCCCGGGGTGATCTTGTGTGCAGTTTCTTCCGTATGGTTGCCCGTCTCTCACCACATCTTGTTCGACTTCTTACGAGACGAAAACCATCGTAATGAGGTTTGTAAGTTCACCTTAAGTTCCCGTTCCTTCAAGGTTAAAAGGTTTCAATTTAATCATTCAATCCATATCCATTAGTTTGAACAGCCGAAGAACTAACATAGTAGCCTAGGCAGCAAATAATTAGACTGTAACTTCACCTTCTTCATTAGTCAGATATAATTGAGTTTTCTTGAATTCCTTTGTACGAATTTTAGTGGGACATCATGTCGAATGGAAGTCCGGTGCAATGCATTGTAAACTTGGCTAAAGGGCAGGACAGAGGAAATGCAGTTACTATCCAAGTGAGTTCTGACTTCTCCTAGCAAAACATCATAGTAACTCAGACCTTAATATGCTAAAATGTTGTGTCCTGATTTGAGTTTTACGTCATGGATTCAGGCGATGAAGACGAAAGACCAGAATATGTGGATACTCCAAGACAGCTGCACAAATGCATACGAATCTATGGTCGTCTATGCTCCTGTGGACATCAACGGCATGCAATCTGTGATAACGGGTTGTGATTCAAGTGACATTGCTCTTTTATCTTCAGGTTTTTCTGTGCTTCCTGATGGGATCGAATCTCGATCCTTGGTTATCACTTCTAAGCCAGAGGAAAAGAGCACAGAAGGAGGATCATTGCTCACTATTGCATTTCAAATCCTAACTAGCAATTCTCCAACAGCAAAACTTTCTATGGAATCCGTAGATTCAGTTAACACCCTTATATCATGCACATTGCAGAGCATAAAGAAATTTTTGCAGTGTGAAGAATGATGAATTTGTTCTTAAACGATAGTCCAGGCATAGCAGATAGAAAGTATAGGATCAAATTATACAGTTTCAACAATCTTTTCCTTGGTGGACTTTCAATTTGTTAATGTCATGGCAATAAAAGAATAAAACTGATGTTTCAAGTACATTGTAGTGGATAAATAATTTATCAACCATTTTTCTCGAATGAACCTCGTCCTTATAACACTGCCGTAGCTTCTTGACTCTAAGGTCTATGCATTGAAAGGACATCTCTTAGATTTGTGCAATCGAAGATCATGTTGGTTGCTAGTGTAGCACGTTTCGTCGTACTTTAAAGCAGCTTTACATTTTCTTAAAAGTAACAAAAAGAAATTTTCATAAGTTCTTGGATAAATTATTTATTTGTTACTTTTACTTTCAAGTGAAAAAATTATTGAAATTTAAATTTTATTTGTATTTTTCTCAAATTGGGTTTCAATACT